ATATATATTAGTGATCAGAAAAAGTGTACTTATAGTTGTTATCATTTACAAATATTAATATCAATGATTTAGTTTGACAGCACCGTCTCTTTTCTGCTTTATTTACTCATCCACACTCAATAGTGACAAGTTATCCACCTGTTCTCTTCTCATCTTTTATACAACAGGCTTTCACAAAAACACAAAACCTTCAACTTTCCCATAGCAGAACCCTACCCATCGCACAGCACCGGGGAAGAAAATCAGCCACACTTTAATGCTGCATCAAAAGCCTTACAGTTCCTGATCGACCACTTTCAGAGGGGGGCGGGGGGTGACTCTCACTGTACCTCAGCTTGTTTGTCTCATGGTTTAAGAAGTGCACATAGCCATGGAAAGATCATTAAATCACCGTTTTACCAATTGGTTTAATCCACATAACAAAAGGGGGAGATGCCAAAAAAGAAAATTGAGAGAAAAAAAATGGTGGATGAGATTAAGTGGAAACTTGATGGATCTAAAGTGACGGCTCTGCTTCCCAGGGTTTTCGCTGAAGGGGAGATGCTGCGTCTCGTAGGTGGAGAGAAGCCGCCGATCGGCTTTTCTCTGCTACCCCAACAGTGGCCGGTGTCCGCTGCCGTAGCCATCTGCCGGATTAACCGGCAGGATGTGTTTTTTATCGAGCATCCTATTCATATCCTGCCTGCAAAGGTTTGCATTAAGGTTGAACTCGGGTGCGTTTACAATGGGAGATGAAACGAGCTCTGTCCGTCTTACAGCACCCCTCCCCGTCGTCTCACTGTTTGGGAGACTTCACTGTGGCATGAAAGAGGATCTCAAGCGATGCCACTGTCTGCCGCTGATTCTTTTTCAGGCACTGACAATAAAGTTGTGCCCGGCATGAAAAACGAAAAAAAAAGGAAGAAAAAAAAGTAGTACCAAGTGCAATTGTTTCTTCTAATAGGCATCAACAGGCCAACTTCTCTGTGTTACCATACAGGTGAACTCATTCCTGGGAAAATGTTTTTCTCTTTCTCAGCCTCGTGAGCACGATGGCGTCCCCCTTTTTTTCCTGAGCCTAAAGGGATTAGTCGTGCCAGTGCTACCCCGGCTGTCACGGTACTGTCTACTTCCCATCTCTCTTCTGGGCCTCTAATGTGATTAACCCGTTCCCTGTGGTCCAAATGGTTCTGGAGGGTGGGTAGAGAGACAGGGAGGTGGAGGTGGAAAGTAGGGGGGACTCCTTGGCATGTTCTTCACCATGCCTCACTCTTCATTACTTGTACCTTTGTTGGACAGGAAGGGATCAGGTCGAAGGTCTGTTAGAGCGTAAAAAGGACTATGAGTGGGATTCATATCTGGCACTCTTTCGATTATAGAGCAACTGGAGTTCATTTCCAGGCTTTAGAGTTGTTAAAAGCTTGGATCTGACTTTGTGAACCTCTCCTCGCAATTTGTAGAAACTCCTCAATCGGTGATGAAGATCTGCTGAAGCTGATTGGTCGTGTGGCTTCAGCTTATCAGCCCTGAATGCAGGGGCCACGACGATCACCTACCCCCATCATCTTGTCAAACGTCCGTGTTTGAGGGGTTTCGCTTGTTTAACACGTGTCACGCTTGTTTTGTGCTCATCTGTTGAAATTCTTCAGAGCATATGCTGCACACAGAGAACAACATGGCCTTTGTCACTGCTCAGAGCGAGAGACTGGCAACCTCACTCTCATATTACTTCATATTTGACCTTTTTGCATGTCCGTACGCTGTTAAGTCAATAGTTCAGATCTTTTGAAGTTGAGTTCTGTGGAAAGATCATGAGCAATATCTCTTCTGGGCTTTGAACAGCCTCAGTTTGAGGTTTAATCACCTGCTAGTGGTGAGATAGTTAGTATTTGCATCAAAACAACTCTAATCTATCTGCAACAGGTAAGATACTGATTCTTCATTACCTTTCTACAAGCCCCACTTCCAAAGATCTGAACTAT